ATAATGCTTGGATTTATAAAATCAAAAAAAAAAAAAAAAAATATACAATTTGTCTCGAAACAATTTTACACAATTTTACGATGCACAGTTTTGGAGATATTATTATATCGAAATATCACGATTAAACGTAACGAAAACATTTTACGAAATGTTATATATTCGAATATCTCTGCACGCAGTTTTGGATCTCTTTCGTGCTCTCTCTGTGCAGAATTTATTATCGTTACATCAACGAAATTGCTATTCCGGAAATAAAACTTGCCGCGGCGAAATCAGAAATGGTGGATATTTCTACTATGAATGGTAGAAATGGTTGATATTTTTACCATCGAGCAAGAATTACACAAATTTTGCGTTACACGCGTTTCGAAAATAAAATTCTTACCGGTGATTTTGCGAAACAAAAAAAAAAAAAGGACAGATTATAAATATACATAGACAGATACAATGGAAGAAGTTGAATTGGAACGAAAGATATTTTACACTCTCCCCTTTTTTCCCCTTCTTTTTTCCTTTATCTTTGATTCGACGAGTAAAAATTTTAATTTCTTCGCGCATTAGCAAAAATAATTACCAACGATGGATCATTTTACTAAAATATCGTATCGAGCAACTTTATCCTAACAGTAAGCAATTACGACTCAAATTCTAACTCATTAAAACTTTACGAAGCTTTGTTAAAAGAAATTGAGTTAAAGGGAAAAATTTTCTATACGGCTTTTAATTAGCGGTCAAGCAAAAAGTACACGTTGTAATTACCCGCATTTCATAATCATTAAACTGTTGAAATGTAAATTTCTTTACTTTCTTCTTGCGAAAAAGAGGACGAACGCGCGATGTGATATAATTTTTTTCAAAGATCATTTCTTAATTATTTTAAAACGCTTTTATTAAGCGTATCCCAAAAAAAAAAAATCGTATATTCGATACGCCGTATATCTTATCGAGATAATATTTCTTTTCGTCGAAACAACTTCGCCCAACTATTGCGGTTAATATTTCGCAGTGTCAATACTGCAGTTTTTCCCCGAGCGAAAAAACTGCTACTTTATACGACTGAAGTTCTGTAAACATTTTTCACTTCGGATTCAGTAACCGTGTAATATGATTTACGTTGCTCGAATAGACGACGCGTTCGCGCGGTTCTCAACTTCAACGGCCAATATTTTTACGGTATCCGCGATCCGCTTTTTCTTTCTCTAAGCGTTATAAGTTTCCATCAAACTCCGCCGCTCTGTCATTCCTATTCATCCGTGAATACCATCGAATTTCGACTATTTTCTTTTTCCCCCCTTGTTCTCCTTTTTATTATTATTAATTCAACCATCACGTCGAAATTCGTGGCACGAGTTTAACAAAGGATTCAAGAAGAAGTATATACAAAAAAAAAAATGTTACTTTAAACT